AGGGGAAGGAAGAGGCTGGTGCACGGGATGGCCGCTCTCCCAGAGCATGGCCACCAGAGCCCAGCTCAGTGGCCCATGGCAAGACTGGAGGGCAGGACCTGGGTGGCAAAGAGACCAGGTGGGCAAAAGGTAAGATGCCTCCTTTAGGGGACGCTCCTGGAAGGACCACAGCAGGTCCCAGGAGGTCCTTGAGGGGAGACCGGGGCTCGCTGTCTCGTGGGGATGCCGGATAGATGCATGCCGGATAGGAGCTGTGTGTTGGCGAAGACAAGAGGCCAGGGCGCAGCTGTGCCTGGTTTCCCACATGAAAGAGCTGACAGGGCTGTCTGTCCTGCTAGCTGGGCACCACAGCAGAGGCACACCCACCTGGCAGGACATCCTCCCTGGGTCCAGTCCACCCTCGGAGGCACAGGCACCCTCTCTGCCAGTGAAGCACCTGCCAAGTCAGCCGTGCAGTCAGAGGCATCCTACCTGGATGAAACCAGGGCTGGGTCCCAAGCTGGAGACCTTCCCAACTCACCTTGGCTTGGAACTCCAAGCCTGGAGAAACTTGGTGTCACTTTGGGCCCCTTCTCAGGCACTTGGAGTCCTGGAGACCAAGGTGGCACTCTGGTCCTCGCTGGGACCTTGAGGCAGGGACTCCCAATGAGCTTGGGACCAGGCTTCCGTGTGAGAGGAACAGTCTCTTCCAGAAAGTAGGCAGTCAGGTAAGCGAGTAAGAGACTGATCGAAGGAATATAGGCTTGTCAGAACCAAGAGCCCAGGTGGAATAAGGGACCTCAGTGCTGAGAAGGAACGTCAGAAGTGGGAGACGGGAGGATGGGGATTTGCATGAAGTGTCCCTAGCATCTGCTGGGAAGCAGAGCCGTCTCGTGGCACGTCTGTCCACAGGACCCATCCAGCGTCAGGCTGACATGTTCTGGCTTTTCTCGTGTGCCAGGCTTTCCCATGCACTGTTTCGTCTTTACAAGTCTGTGATGAAGTGGTGCACGGGACAGATTAGGAATGGGAATCTCAGAAAGGCTAAGAAATGCAGCTATAGCTGGGCATGGTGGCTCCCACCTGTAATCCCAGCACTTTGGGAGGTGGAGGCGAGAGGATTCCCTGAACCCAGGGGCTCGCGACTAGCCTGGGAAACTTGGCAAGACCTCATCTCTACAATAAATCTAAAAATTAAGCCGGGCTCAGTGGCTCAGCCTGTAATCCCAGCGTTTTGGGAGGCCGAGGTGAGTGGATTGCCTGAGCCTGGGGTTCAAGACCCGCCTGGGCAACTTGGTGAGACCTCATCTCTACAATAAATTAAAAGTTAGCCGGGTGTGGTAGCGTGCGCCAGTAGTTCCAGCTACTTGGAAGGCTGAGGCATAAGGATCGCCGGAGCCCAGCAGGTCGAGGCTGCGGTGGCCAGGAGTGTGCCACTGCACTCCAGTCTGGGCAACAGAGTGAGACTCCAACTAAAAAAAAAAAAAATTAGCTGGGTGTGGTGACACGTGCCTGTGGATCCAGCCACTTGGAAGTCTGGGGTGGAAGGATCACCTGAGCCCAGCAGGTTGAGGCTGCAGTGGCCATGAGTGTGCCACTGCACTCCACCCTGGCCGATAGAGTGAGACTCTGACTCAAAAAAAAAAGAAAAGAAAAGCACCTTTGGCCACAAAGGTAACTAGAGGCAGAGCAGAGAGGCCTCTAGTCCAGGGCTTCTCACTCCTGAACCACAGCCCATCTGGAGGGAGGGTGAACATTGCCCGGATGTTCTCCTGCATGGAGCCTCATGGCCTGGAATATACTAGAAATATGTGGAGAGATCTAGGGGCATCTGCTTAGCTCTCTAGATGCCCCGAGGGGAAACCAGAGGCCATCTAGTGAAAATATGACAGCCTGAAGGTTAGTTCTGTCTTTCCCCTTCCTCCTGGAGTTGTTGTTGTTATTATTATTTTTCAGTCCAGTCTTGTTAAAGGGCATGTGAAGGAGGCCAGAGGGACAGGTAATGCCACTGATTAACCTGCCTTCTGGGAAGATGCTCACTGGTTTGTGTATGTGTGTGTGCTTCCACTGAAATAATAATAACTAGCATTTATTGAACACCTTCTGTATGACAAGCCCTGATGACTTTAGGCATACATTTATTTCATTTAAACCTCAAAATGACCCCCATAAGTAAGTATTCTTATTCTTTGTTTGAAGAGACTGAGACCGAGAGAAGTGCCTAAGATCACACAGCAGTTTTTCAGAGCTGGGCATTCCAGTTCAGGATGGCTAACCTCAGTGCTCGTATAAATTTTTACGTTCTACACGCATGCTGCCGACTTCCAGGAAGGAAACAGGAAGGGAAACACACAGAGTGGTTAGGGTTAACTCTACTCCCTGTCCACTGAACCCCAAGGCCCCACCACCACGGCTTCCCTGCCAGCTGTCCTGAAAAGAAATGTTCTGGCCGTCCAGGTTTCCTCCATAAACTGGAGCAGCATCTGGTCTTCACAGAGAGCCAGGCATTCCGGAGCCCATGACGGAGGGTCTGGACGGCTTCTGGTTTCAGCGACCAGCTGGCACTGGCTCCCCCAGGAAAGGGTCAGGCAGAGTCTGAACTGCAGACCAGTCGTGCATTTGCCCAAATTGGGAGACCCAGGAAAGTGGCTCTGTCGACAGGTCCCAGAGACCGCCCCAATCGCGAGCTGGCACCCCTTCTTCAGAGCCCTAAAGACTCAAGCACGGGTGCTAATAGACCTCTGGGAAGGCCAGGGCAGCACACCTGCCATGCTGTGGGCAGGGGCGTCTTTGTCCACCCTACAACGCCTTCTCCGGAATCCCTAAGCCAAGCTGCTCTGAAAGGTGTTTTTCTTGTTTTGTTTTGGTTTTCTTGTTTTTGAGTTGGTCTCCCCCTGTCACCCAGGTTGGAATGCAGCAAAATGCTGCGGCCACTGCCGCCTCAGCCAGCCGGGCCCAGGCGCTCCTTCCGCCTTAGCCTTCCTAAGTAGCCGGAACACAGGCGTGCGCCACCACGCCCGGCTGATTTCACCATTTACTGCAGAGACGCCTCGCCACGTTGCTCAGGCTGGTCTCGGGCAGTCCTCGCG